CGGGGCACAGCCAGGAGACGTGCCGGGGATTCCGCGGGCTCTGGCGTTTCCCCCACCCAGGGTAAGGGGCAGGGGAACCGAGAGCAGGACGATGAGAAGTTGGGGGAAAGGCTTGGACAGGCTTGACCGTCAGGGCTCCGCGGCTCCACCTGCGTGTCCACACTGCTTCTGGACCCCCATCTGCGAAGTGCCAAGGTCTGCGCGTTCTGTGCCGTTGCAGGGTCTGCAGGTCTCACCCTGCCCGCCATGAAGTGCGAGCGCACATCCGCTTCTCTTCGACTCTCTCCGAGGAGCGAGGTGGGGAGAGGGGGGCGGGCGTGCGTGGCAAGTGTAAGCCGGGTAGCACGGAGTCTCTGGAGTGCGGGGACAGCCGGTGGTGTGGGAGCTGAGCTGGGCTTGGGCCTCCAGGGCTGCGCAGAGACCCCTCCAGGCAGCCTGGCGGGCGGGAGCATGGATTGGGGGCACCCACTGACACAGAAAGATACATACATACACGCTAGGTGCCAGTCCAAGGGCCAAGAAGGAAGTGCCGCTGGCTGCTGGGACCAGGCCCTCCCGTTTGGCACGCACAAAACCATACTACTTCTATCTCGTGTGCCTCTTCAAGACGTGGAGTCTCAGGCTTGACTAGCATCTTCCTGCTATGGCGCTGGCCGGGGCCAGAGCAAGAGGAGGCACTGGCTGGTAAAGTTTTAAAGCCTTTACCAACTTGACCTTGCCCTCATCACTCCCTCAAAACTCGGTAACACTGGGGTCACTTTTGCAGTGGATAGGGGCAGCCCCTGTGCTGCACTGGCACTGATGGGTCTAGGGACCACCTAGTCCCCGGTGCTGTGCCGAGGTGCCAGTACAGACTCGACATTCTCTGTCCAGTGCAGCCAGGTGATCCCCAGGCTCCTCCACCCCTGGGCTGGGTTTATCTTTCTGGATGCTCTGTGTTTGGATCAACTGTGCCTTGCACCCAGCGCCCCGCCTCTGCCCCCTGCTCCACACTGTGCCTACCTGGGGGTGGAGGTGTGGTGGCAGTGATGGAATGGGCTAAGCCTCAGCCTTAGGCTCTTGGAAGACAGTAGGGAATGGAAGAGTGGAAACGACAGGGGTGTGTGTATGCTTCTGCAAGCTTATGCTTAGGGGATCTCTGAGGGTAGAGGTTGGGCCCCACCAGGCTTAAAAGCTGGCTTTGCCCCTCTTTGGTCTGGCTCACTTCTACTGCATCTTCAAAATTAATCCACCTCTCTCCAGGCCTGTACAGATGGCCACTAGGGACTGAGCTGCCTGGCTTCCCTGTGTGGCCCACCTCAGCATTCCCATGCCTCCCACACTGGGAGCCTACAGACCAGAGACAGCCTAAGTTGCAGCCCAGCCAGCAGGGTCCTCCCTGCCTTGGCCAAGGGTCAGCTTCTAATCAGCTCAGAATGCCTCCTGGAGCCCAGAGCCTTAGAGGACCTTGTATTCATTCATGCACACATGCATTCCTTGTACTCAGCTACCCAACACTGATTTTACTCCATGCCAGGTGCAGAGCTAGGGCCCAGAGGTGATGCGATGAACAGTACAGGTGTTGTCTTGCCCTGGAGAAGCTCACAGTCTAGTGGGAAAGAGATTTTTAATCTGCAAAGCACACATCTATCGGGTCCCCGGCAGGAGCAAGGCAAGTGCTCTGCCAATGACCCCTTGTGGGTTTGGAGTGAACAAGCCTAGCCCTGCTCCCTCCCATGCGGCTCTGAGGTAGTCAGCTGAGCCTGGATGACAGCAGTCTTGTGGGGCAGGTGCCAGTTGGATGCTCACTTCAGGCCCTACTCTCTCCTGTCTGGAGGCTCGGAGAGGATGCTGTGGTCAGGGGGACAGGTCTGGAGGTCAGGAGATTTGGGGCCAGGCCTACAAGGAGGCCTGTGAACACTACTGTCCAGCTCTGGCCTCCTCACAGGAACAGGGGGAGGGTGTCAGGCTGTGGGAGCTGAAGGGTCCATGGCAGGTCTATGTGGTTGTTGTGTTGATACCTCTCTGCTTCTTGGTCCCCAGGTCTGCACCTCTGTTTCCCCAATCAGGAGTCGCCAGGATGCCCATTCTGGAGAAAACCCCCCCTAAGATGGCAGCAAGAAGTCCCAGCAGCGAGGAGGTGCCTGTGAGTGACTTTTAGAGCCCTCTCTCTCATTCCAGCTCTCCCCACTCACAAGCCTTTGCTTCCAGAGCAGTCCTGAGTGGGACTGGTCCCCCGTCCTTGAGTGCCCCCCAGCCCTGCTCTGTCCTGGGCAAGAGGCCCATGCTGCAGCCCTGACCAGAGTTTGCTGAGGAGCCCGGGAGGGCCTGGAGGGGCTGGGAGAGGCTTCAGGGGGTACCGAGGGAAAGCTGATAGCCCCCAAGGGCAGGGAGAGCCCTTCACCTGGGCCAGGTACTCTCTCTTTTCTCCCAGGGCCTCATCATCTCCAAGTTCCGCTTCCAATGGCTTGAAGCCAGTGGAGTTGCCTAAGGATGAGGCTGAATTTCCTCCTTTAAGTCACACACCAGCCCCAGCCGCTGTCAGTCCCTCTGCCACACTTGTCTTCTTGACACTTCCTTACCCTGACCCCCCACCCTAGGGCTTCACTGGAAATCCTGATCAGAACTTTCTGGCTTCTCCCGGGAAGTTGCTTCCCACATTGTCTGTACAAACACCTGACAAACACTGTTGATGCCTCTGGTCCACAGCATGTCCCTCCCTTTGGACTGTGGCTGCCTTGAGAGCAGGCTCTGTCTCTCCATTGTCCCTGAATCCAGCCCAGCGCCTGGCTCACATGAACTTCCCAGAGATGTTTATTGACCTGAGATCCCAGGGCTCAAAAACCCTCATTTGTACGAGCCCCTGCCTCTCTACCTGAGCAAGAGCCAGAAGCCCATGCAAGTGTGGGAAGAGCCCTGAGGGGTGGAGCCATCTGAGCAGAGATTTCCTGTCTCACTCCTTCTTACCATCTCTGAATCCCAGTGGCCCAGGCTGAGTCACTGTCAGAGCTCTGAAGAAGGATGGCCTGTTTCCAGCAGGAGCTCCAGCCAGACCTGCTGGCACTCTTGGCCAGGCCACCCGCTGGGCTGGGCTGGGCTTTCTGTAGGTGTTTGCCCACTCGCCCACCACACCGACCTCCAGACCCCAAGAGAAGGAAGAGGGAACCAGAGGGGCTGGGAGGGGAAGCTGGACCCGACTCTCTGGAGGTGGGCTGGGCAACCTGCAATGCCGCCCAGACCCCTCCTCGAGTGTTCCCCAGGGCAGGAGCAGCCCAGAGTTGGCACTGACACTCTCCCCCCTCCCTTTAGGACAGTGATCTCTAGAGACAGGTTCAGACAGGCGAAGGAACCCATTCAGTCATCAGTGCAAGCTCCAGTGCTCACTCACTCACGGTCCGCTTGCCCAAGGCTTCCAGGGGTGGAAGGGTTCGCTCCCGTTCCTACCACAGCAGGAGAAGAGCATGGGCAAGCTTTCAATGGATTCCTTCACTCCATAGCCCAGCCAAGGTGGAAATTCACTGCCCCCAACACCCTACAGGGGAGAAACCCCTGAAAGAAGGCTGCCCGCTGTCCCTATCTGCACACTTTGTAAAGTTTCAGCAACAATATGACAACTTCTGCTTTCTGACTGTGACCAGCTAAGTGGGATGGAACAGGGAGCAAGGGAGAGAAAGAAAGAGCAAGAGGGAGGAAGATCGATTTCAGGTCTCAGCTCTGCCATCGAATGGCTGGATGACCTTGGACTCGTCTCTCCACTCTCTGGTCCTCAGTTTTCTCATCTGAAAATGGGACAAAAATAACATTGAGATCCCTGGCTGACAGATCAGGTTCAGTGGGGACTTCTATTCAGACTCTCAAGACATTTTGGGGGCCCCCAGGTATTATGGGTTTTCTCTTAGGAATCACTCCGAAGGGCTGAGGACAGTAATAGCATAATAACATTTTACGATGTGCCTATTTGAGGCTAGTTGTTTCGCTTATTTCATTCTCTCTGCATCCGTCTCAGGTAGGAATTGTTATTTATGGCCTAAGGAGGAGGAAGCCGAGACTCGGAGAGATTAAGAGGGGAAGAGCTTTAACTGCACTCCGTTCCCCCATCCTGTACCCACATGGAGCCCAGTGCCCCTCCCTGGGTTTCATAACTAGGAGGGATTTACTAAGGAGCCCGGTGCATGAGTCATCTTCCCAGGGAAGATCACGCAGAATTCTGGTCATTAGGGCCAAGCTACGAACTATACCTCCCACCATCTTTCACTTGAATCTCTCCATTCGAGGCACACCCTTTGGGTCCAGAGATCAGCTGGATTGTGGAACCCCAGTGGGGAACAATTCCTAAATTAAGAATGGCCAGTATCAGTAACGGGACAATTTCATCTCAGGCTCATTCTTTATGGGTTATAAGCACTTGAACATCCATGATCTCTTTGATTTTATGAAAGGTAGAGGGTATTACCTCGGTTTTACTGGAGAGGAAACTGAGGCACAGAGATGGGGGTGATTTGCTCAAGATCACACAGATGGTCAGCAGCAGGGTCAGGGCATGAACCCAGGTCTGCCCGGGTTCGATATCAAGGTTTTCCCTGCTTCCTAGAAGCAGGGCTAGGGAGTGAGAGAAAGCGAATGGAAGCTTCCTAAGATCGCGATTCTGCTGAGCTGAATCCTGAAAGCAGATGAATCCCTGGATGGGGAACAAGGATGGGGTAGATGGAGATGGGCACTGGGGATCAATTAGAGGATGGGCATGGACCACACAAAAGGACAGGCACAAGAGCCTGAGAACCTTCTCTTCCAGGGGCTGCCCAAACTCCCAGTGCCCCCCCTGCAGCAGACCCTGGCCACTTACCTGCGGTGCATGCAACACCTGGTACCTGAGGAGCAATTCAGAAGGAGCCAGGACATCGTGCGGCAGTTTGGGGCCCCTGGTGGCCTCGGTGAGACCTTGCAGCAGAAGCTCTTGGAGCGGCAGGAGAAGACGGCCAACTGGGTAAGTGTTGCCTGGAAGGGGCAGACGAGGAAGCCATGGGACAGGAGGCGGAAAGCAGACATGGAGACAGAGGGATGTAGATGAAGGAAAGACTGGTGACAGAGATGGGGCAGATGAAGGGACAGGCATGGGGGAGAGACAGAGGGATAGCAAGGGGCAAGGGTGAGGGACAGACAAGATTGGGGTGGAGATGGGAAAGGGGACAGAGAGGGGACAGATGGAGATAGAGATAGGATGGTGGGGAGAGGCAGGGTACAGAGATGGAGGACAGATGTGGGACAGGGAAGGGACAACAGAGCATGAGCTGAGGTCAGGGGAGCAGAGAGTAGTGAAAGGCAGGAATGGGACACTCATAAGGACAGGTAAGGGGGTACGGATAGAGCCCCAAACAACCAGAGTGAAAACTGGATGGAAGAAAGGAGATAGAGTCCAGGGCAAAGTCAAAGGGCAGGCATGGTGGGTTTGGGGAGCACACAGACTCTAGCGCATAACTGGGGCTCAGTGCATGTTTATGGAATGAATGAATGAATAAATGAATAAATGAATAAAAGAAAGTGTGATCCAGTTAAGGATCCCTCAGGGCTGCCAGGTTGGGACTGGTGCCCTCCACAGGCAGGGCGCCCTTGTTTGCAACGGTGTGTGTGGCCATCAGGGGTGATGGAGCCCTATCCCCGCTCCCTGACAGGTATCAGAGTACTGGCTGAATGACATGTACCTTAATAACCGCCTGGCCCTGCCTGTCAACTCCAGCCCGGCTGTGATCTTTGCCCGGCAGCACTTCCAAGACACCAATGACCAGCTAAGGTGAGGCCACCGTGCTCCTGGGGCCGTAGCTTGGGAGTCTGCCTGGAGGAGGGGGTTTGGCCCCAGCATCAGGAAGGAAAGGCCAACTCTCATGCCTTGGCTGAGCTTTCTGAGGCCAAATGGCCCTGAGACAGTTGCCATCCAGGCCATGGGGATGGGAAGGAGGTTGGGCCAGGTCCTCAGAATTTAATTACTTAGGGTCGGGTGGTCACTACTGGAGGTCATAGGGTGGACCCCCTTCCCCGTGTCCCCATGGCAGTCTGGACATGGTTGAGGGCCCCAGGAGGAAACCTGTACCCTCTCATCCCGCCAGTCCTCGAGGCTGGGGCCGGTTACGGGGACACACTGCCCCAGGCCATGTCAGAGAGCCCCAGCTCCAAACAGAGGCTTTGAGGGGGTGGAAATGGTTCCTTCCCGGCAGCCAGCCGCTGCCAGTGCCTCTGCCATCTGCTGCAATTTCAGAGCTCACTGAGCGGCTGGAACTGCCTCTGGGCCCACTGATGATGATGGAGGGGCCAGTTATGTAGGGGTGGAGCAGGGAGGAAGGGTCTCCCTGCCGGAGTCTCTCAGAGCCAAACCCAGGTCTCTGGCCTCAAGACCCGGATGTGGCACAATGTGGGGACAGTTCAGAGCCCGTTAAAAAACTAGAGGCGGGGCTCACCTCAGCCTCTGGGCAGGGCTCAGTGATGCCAGAAACCACTCCCACCCAATCCCCTCCTTCCTCACCAAGCCCAGCCCACCCCCCAGCTGTCTGGGGGCAGTCTTCCCCCTTCCCCTGTAGCCTGGGCCTTCCCTGGGCAGAAGGAAGTGTGCAGATGGATGAACGAGCTCTGAGGACAGTTCTCAAAATTGCAGCGAAGAGGGGAGTTCTCCTCCTGATGCAATTAAGCCGGGCTCATCATCCACACACAGTTAAGATGACAAGATCCTGAGGCACGGGTCTCCCCTCTAACACCTGATTTCCTTTGCATTAGCATCAGGGGGACCAAATGACTGACTTGTCCCAGGGGATTGAATTCCCTAGAACCCCGGAGGTCCTGGCCCAGTCCAGCCCAGCCCCAGCACCAGGCCTTTCCCGGAAGAACCGCACCCCTGACCGCCTAGCCCTTTCCTTCGTGCTCTGTGGCCTCTCCTGGCTTCCTCCTCCTTCTCCTCTTCATCCACCGTCTAAGTTCCTTTTCTCCCCCAAGTTCTCTCCTCTGGACCATTTTTATCCCAAGCTTTTCGAAGCTGACAGCGTGGGGGGTGGGGGTGGGGCAGCAGGAATTCCATCTGATTAGCGCATCACCAAGGCCAGGCGGCTGGGGTAGTGGGCAGGGCATGAGTTTGGGAGAGCCCGAGAGAGGAGGTGGGAGGGAGGGGGAGAGGGAAGGGGAGAGAGAAGAAGAGAGAAGGAACAAAGGAAGAAGGGAGGGAGCCTGGGCCGCGGAGAGGAGAAACTAAGGTCTCCTCTCTCTCTGCAGGTTTGCAGCCAATCTCATCTCCGGTGTGCTCAGCTACAAGGCCCTTCTGGACAGGTAGGACTGGGCCCAGCCTGGGACGGGTCGTGCCCTGTTCTGGCACAATCTGTTGATTCCTCTGACTCCCCACCACACTAGACAAGGAGCTTCCAGAGGGCAAGGACCTTGTCCTTCTCCAGCTCTGTGTGGCAGAGCCAACAACCCCCCCTCCCC